CAGAAGCCTAGAACCAACTGGAGCCTTTAGATTAGCTTCAGAATAAATGGAAGGGAATCAAGGAGCCATTCTCATGAGCACTAGAACGTGTGACTTCATCTTGTGCTGAGATGGAATCAGGATTTGGAGGAATCCTGCGTTGTTGAAAAGGCCCTGCCAGGGCAGCTGATGACCTAATGGTTAATACAGTAACACTGCAATTTGCTCCAACACCAGAAGAGTTTCCTACCATTCAAAGACTTGAATTTCTGGACCAGGGCCACCCAGACCCAATCTGTTTCTCCCCTTTCTTCTTTGTGCCTTAAGATGCAGCCCAGAATTGCTCAGAGTCAGCAACAGGAGTCCTGGGAGTGGGCCTCACCCCTGGGCCTGGACTGAGCTGCACTACTTACTCTCCTCACTGTCAGTATCTCAGCTCTGCTGGGTTCTGCAAGACCCTGCGGTGGGGCCCAGAATCTCTACTCCTTATCCCAGGCAACTTCCTCTTGCACATCTCACCTTTGGCGAGGGACATGGGCTTGGGAAATACCCAGTCAGCCATAGTCTAGCTTGGAGAACCTGCAAAGTCATCAAACGAGAGAGCTAGCAGCATGGAGCTGAAAACAGGGGGCCAGAGAGGAAAAGTGACGACTTCCCTACACCATACCTCCCCTCTCCTTGTGCCATCAACAATTTCAGCCTGCCATGGACTCCCCCTTCCTGGAGGGAAGCATGGCGTCTCTCCGTGGGTGTCTACTATGGCTTCCTCTTTTCCTCTTTAGTCCAGTAACCACTTTGTTCCTCCCAATCCCTCTCAACGATTTTTTTATTTTTTGAGACATGGTTTCCTCATGTTACCCAGGGTAGTCTTGAACTCCTGGACTCAAGCAATCTGCCCTCCTCAGCCTCCCAGAGTGCTGGGGTTATGGACATGAGCCACTGTACCTGGCCAGGAATCTTTTAAAAATGCAAATCTGATTATATCACGCTCCTCTGCCTAAAAAACACGCAATGACTTTACTGATGGCCTCCAAGCCCTGTTGTCTGGCCCTTGCTTCTTTCTTTAGGCTTGTTCACACCCTCCTAGTTGTGTGCTGGAACTGGCTCCTCCAAGCTCACAAGAGCCAATGGGAAATATTCAGGAATTTGTTGGTAGCTGGAAATTGATCACAGTGGGGATATTTTATACTAGAAAAAATCAACAAATGCTAAAAATCCTCTATTTTTTTTTTTTTCCTGGAGAGCTGATTGGTCAGGCCACTGCTGCTCCATCCCCACTTGCGCTGTTCCCTCACAGGGCTGCTGGCACACTCTCTCCTCTTTCTTTGCTGAGTTAAGTCTATTCTTTGACACCTCAGCTCAATTCTTACTTCTTTCAAGAAACATCTGTGATATATCTGAATAAGTCTCTACGCTTTACCATTTCTTCTTAGCCTGTATGACATTTGTAATTTTACACATATGAGGAATGATGAGCATCTGTCTTCCCCATGGGAATGTAAACTCTCCATGGCAAGAGAGATCATGCCGGGTTTCACTCACTCTCTTTGCTACCTGGCACGATACCTGAAAATGGAAACTCAACATCTGCTGAGTGAGTGAATGAATTAGAAAAATACACACTAGACAAGGCTCTGGCTTCTGTGGCAGGACTACTTTTGTTCCTGCATCTCCACATTCTCCTCTGCATTTTCCAGCCTCTCTTGCTGTTATGTTTGTCTTGTTACCAAATTCTGGCCAGTGGAATGGGGATGCTCTGTGTCCTCTAGAATGCCACAAGTATCTTTCTCTTCCCTGCAGGGCTGGAAGTGAAGAAGTCACAAGACAGAAGCAAACCAGATTCCCGAGTCACCAGTTGGAGAAGAGCTGCCCAAATGAGTCATCTGACTCTCCTTGAACTGAGAAAGGAGGGAGACTTATACTTTTATTGAGTTAATCTCTGAGGTTTGGAGTTAATTTGTTACTGCAGCAGAATCAGGTTTACCCTGACCTAAAACACCATCCTGGTTGTCATTAACTCCTACCCTTTGGGCGGGTCACAATGTCTCTGAACCTCGGTTTCCTTATTGATAAAATAAAAGGATCCCACAGGTGATAACTGAAATTCTTGCAATGTTAAAATTCAGTTATTCTTCTGATATATTTCCTGGCATAGCACCATGTGCAGACACCACAGATGTTTGCTAAATAAGAGAACCACCTATTTCTGAAATCCTTTTCTCCAGATGAAAGCATTTTAGTACCTTAGAAGTTGAGAGTGATTGCTTAGAATATTTAAACATCTAACATGCACAATATTGATCAAAATAACAAGGGGGACATTTCATCAAGAGGCTGGGGAATCTTCAAAGATCCATCCCTCAGCCTGGTAGATGCTTCCTAAACATCTTGCTCTGTCTGCCCTTAGAAATGTGGCCTCAGCACTTTCAATTATTTGCAGGTCTCAGCCTCTAACTGTCTTAACTGATCCGCTCAGCTGACTCTGTCAACCGCCTTTCCCAATAGGCATACTCTCATTTTTCAAAGGAACCTAGTGATGCCTTTTTTCAGTGGGTTGTCATTAAAGGCCACTATCTGCATCTCAGTAACCAAGAAGCAAATGTCGCATCTTTGATAAGATGTCTGAGGGTGGCTGGTTGGGTAGCAAAGGTAGCTCAGAGTCCTGACGGCTCAACTGGGCTTCAGATCCCCTGGGGTCTATTCCTTGCTCTGCCATAGGCTTATTGTGTGTGAAAGAGGCAAAGGCAAGCTCTTCTTCTTGGGCTGGGGTCCCTCTTCCTGTTATAAATGAAGGCCACTGCAGCTGCTGTAAGCTCAGTAACCATAGTAACAGTGGACCACGTGATAGGTGTCTGATCCCCATCAGACATCTTCTGATATTAAGTGTTCTTCATCCTTCCCCTTTAACCCCACCCCAAATCCTGTTATTAGTAATGACACAGAGGGTCTCCCAGGGCAGCTGTTTGAGCATGGGAGACCTGGAGCTGCCAGCATTAATTAATCCTCTATTTCCCCAAAACGTTTTGCATTGCCAGGCCCCAGAGCCAAGAAAACCTCCCAGGGCAGCTCTTATGTGAGAGATTGCTAAGGCTGTCACCAGGGACTACAGTGATTCAGCTCCAGTTTGCACAAATGGGGCTCAGCAGGCACACAATACATACTTGTGGAAAAGTCAAGCTTACTAAAATGGAGCTCATATCACAAATGGGATTCCTTCAAATCATTGGAAATTCTGCATGAAATGATCATGTGAACTATTCCACAGTTATTGAGCTGCTTGCTATATGCACCCATGGGTGAAGACATGGAGGCTCTGAAGATGTTAGCTTGCTGAAGGAATCCCAAGTCCATGGGGTGGCCAAGGCTCAGGGTCACATTGGGAAGTATGTAGAGAGGAGTCTGGAAGGCTTCACAGGGACCGTATCACAAAGGGATTTGGATAAAGGTTGAGTCTTTTGTATTTATCCTTGGAGATCCTTTGAGAGCTGTTACTCATGTGAATGACAGGATCAGCTTTGTATTTTCGACACTCCCTTTCGGTGCCCCTGAAGGAAAAAACTAGAGGGAGACTATTGTTTTGACCAAGTAATTAGTGTTCTAGAACTTCTGAATCCAGGCCTTAAGACAACTGACAGCTTCTGCTTCCTTCCTCTTAGAACCTAGCCACTGTGCTGTGAGCAGCTCCAGCATCATGGAGAGGTGACATAGAGGAGAACCAAAATGCACGAGTTGACAGCCCCATTGTGATCCCAGTGGCAGCCAGCACCTATTGCTCAGCACGTGAGTGCCTCATTGTGCCATCTTGGATGTTCCAGGCCCAGCTGAACCCCCAGATGACTGCAGTCCCAGAAGACAACATGTTGAGCAAGAAAACCACCCAACTGAGCCCAGCCAACCCACAAAATTACGACAAGTAACAAAATAATTGATCTAAGCCAGTGAATCATGAGTGGGTTTTTAATGCAAGTGTAGACAGCTGAAAAACTGGAGGACGGGTTGGATCCCAGGTGGTGGTCTGAGCTGTAGCTCAGAAGAAAAGGTCTGGCTGGAGAGGCCATAGATTTAGGAGACTTTGGCTTCATAGAAATGTGAAAGCTCTATTGTGGATGAAATCACCTACACCCCTTTTCAACACATGCCCAGCACACCTAGAGCACAGCTGACCCACAGCAAATGTTTGCTGAATTAAATTCAACACTCCACATAATGAAAAATACTAAAAAGTCACTGTTTTCTTGAGCTAAGACAGTCCTTCTTATGCCTAGAATTCTGATTTCCCCTTGCTTTAAGCATACTTTTATGCTCACCCTCTCTGAATCAAATGTGTACTCCTAGCTGCTGCGTTTGATCTTCTTTATCCTCCTGAGACAAATCCTTTTGAGTGTGGACTTGGAATCTGCAAACATAAGCTTGGGTTCAGAGTGATGATTTTTCTACCTGTGCACCTCTCTTCTGAGCCTCGGCTTCCTCATCTATATATAAAGATAAGAATACCTGCTGATTGAATTAGGTAACAAAGGTGAACTCTTGGGTAACCCTCACGGGATGCAGCTGTGCCGTTCACCTTCAGCAGGACACAGGTGCAGCTTCAACCCAAACACCCCATGGGTTCCCTCTACCCGTGGCCTGTGCCTTTTCCCTGTAAGAACCATCACCCAGGTTGGGGAGCTGGGAAATCTCCAGCTTTGTGTTTGAAAAGCTCTCAAAGGACCCAATTTGACAGCCACCTTGGCCAGCTGCTGGGGGAAAAGGAGGGTGAGCAAGGGGCTAGTAGTCTGGGAAAGTGACTCCTGGAGTCGCAGACCGGGATGGAGCCCAGGTTTGTCCTCGAACACAGGGTGACCTCCTCAAGCTCCAGCACTTCCTGGGCCAAATTGTCCCCTTTTGTACACAAAGCATTAAGACTGGCCTGAAACAGCCCCAAGGCTCCTTCCACCTGGAAGGCTCCGGCTCCCGGTGGGGTGGGGGTCCGGTCACGTGTTGGCGGGGAGGGGGGTGCCGGTTGACGCTGCTCCTCCGGGTGCAGCCTCCTCTGACGTCCTCGCAGCCGTCCTCCCTCCCTCCGTCCCCGCCCCTCTGGCGGCGGGAGAGCGGCTGGCTCGCCCTGATCCCGGGAGCTGCCTGGAGGCGGGCCCGGCCCCGGGAAGGTGCGCGGCGGCGGGACCCAGCCCCTCGCTGGGAGCAGGCATCATGGTGCTGTCGGTGCCTGTGATCGCGCTGGGCGCCACGCTGGGCACGGCCACCAGCATCCTCGCGCTGTGCGGGGTCACCTGCCTGTGTCGGCACATGCACCCCAAGAAGGGGCTGCTGCCGCGGGACCAGGACCCCGACCCGGAGAAGGCGAAGCCGGGCGTGCTCCGGTCGGCACAACAGGTGAGCGGGGGGCGGCGCGCTGGCCCTCCCTGGGCGAGGGGCGAGGGGAGAGGCGGGGTCGCAGGGCAGCTGCAGAGGGGGAAATGGGGTGGGAGGCGGGCGTGGATCTTTGCGCGACAAAGCTTGGCGGGGAGAGGGGACGGCAGAGGCGCTGGAGGACAGGCCAAGGAGTCAAAAAGGTAGGGGGATGGGAGAAGCTGGGGGATGGGGGAGACGTGGGGGAGAATTAGAGAGGGGGGTTCTTGTGGGGACTGAGAGAAGAATGGGGGCCAACAGAGAGCTAAAGGGAGGGGACAGGAAAGGGGACTTGGATAAGAATTAGGGCTGAGAGGGGTAAGAGAAGAGGGAGGTTGGGAGGGCAATCACCAGGGTTGTAGAAGATCCTGAGAGGATCTAGAGAATGAGGAGCTTGCAGAATTGGGAAGAGGACTGGGGTCGGGGGCGGGGGGGCGGGGAGTGGTTGTGGAGCCAGGGTAGGGCAAGCTCTGCCAGAGCTGAGAAGAGGGAATGCCTGGAAAGCCAGAGGGGAGGTGGCCACGGTCCTGCAGGAGCTGGGGAGCTAGGGGGTCTGGAGAGGGAATCCCAGAGGAGCCTGAAGGGTTCTCCCCCACCCCCCAGCAGCTCTGAGCTCTAGCCGGTCAGAGGAGGTTGCTATGGCCGCCCCCAAGATGTCTCTGCAGATATCCCTGGAGACAAGAGAGCTTTTATCCCATGTATTTGCTCACGGCCAGAGCCCCTTGGTGCAGGAAACAGGCATATTCCCATTGTAAAGAGCAGCAGAAGGGATCTGGGGAAGCAGTTTGGAAGGATTTCCCTGCATAGGATGTGACCTCCAGGATGCATTTCTGCAGAGTGCCGAATGTTCTCTAGAGAACCAAGAGTCAGAGTCTTGCTAGAGTGATTTGAGGAAGGCTGGCCCGGGGGCAGGGGCATGACTTATAGGCTCTCCTAAAGGCCCTCTAGATCCCTTATAGACCGTGTCATTCCAGGAGTGACACTAAAATGCTGTGGCTCCATCTTCCTTTTTCCAATCAATAATTCAAAAGCTCAGAGGACACAGTGGCATGGGCCCATGTCAGTCACTGTACAGGGAGGGTAGAGAGGAAATGGCTGCTGTCCTTGAGGCACTTATAGTCCAGAAACAGTGACATTGACACTGGCTTAATAGGAACAGGCTGCACAGCAGGATGTGGGACTGGGACGATCTGGAAATGGGAATAATGGACTCTCCACTGGTCAGAGGTTGGAGGCCCTTCTCCAGAAGCTGTGGCCGGCTGCCTCTCAACCTTCTCTGCTGTCCGACATACTTGAGGAACAGCCACTCTCCTGCCTTTCAGTGATGTCTCTTCAGACACTGTCTCCTCCCCTTCCCAGAGAGAACCACTGGGAAAGTAGCTGGTGTAAATGACCTCTAAGGTCTCTTCCAACTCTTTGTCTTATTGATGACCAGTAGTCCACAGAACGGCTGATCATCTGTTAAAGACAAACCAGATTGTGTCTCTTCCCTGCTTCAAGTCCTCCACAACTTCTTTCTGATCTTGGAAGAGGTCACAGCAAATCATGACATAGCACACACTGTGTGCCAGGTGCACTGTTCAGAGTGCTTTACACTAATTAATGCGTTTCACGACCCAGTGAGGGAGCCATACGATGATCCTAACTTAAAGATGAGGAAACCGAGGCTCAGAGAAGGTGAATGACTTGCCTATAGCTGCACAGCTAGAGAAGTTGTAGAGCCAGACTCTGGCTGAGCTAGTCTGATTCTGGAGGCCACGTGATTAGCAACTCCTCTCCATCCCTCACTTTCTTTGACGTGGCAGGTGTCTGCCTCTCCAGCCAAGCTCATGTCAGTTTCTTCCTTCATCAGCAGTCTTGGCCTCTCTGGATTTACGATTATTCTTTAAGGACACCAAGCTCTTTCCTGCCCTTTCATTTTTCTCTGGCCTTTCACACAAATAGCTCCTTCTCATCCTTCAGGTCTTTTTCTGTTTAAAGTCTCAGGGAGGATTTTGCCTCCTGACACATGAAACAAAACACCCCCTTCCTGTTATCCTCTCCCATATTGTTCCTTTCAAATCCTTTTATGGCACTCTTTACACTGGGAAGCAATCTTTCATAGTTACTTACTGGTGTAATATTTATTCCCAGCACCTACGCAGTGCCTGAAAACTAGTAGGTGCCCAATAAGAAATTGTGGATGAATAAAGTCATCTCAGGGGCCATCGGGGGGTGGGGGGATTATTGTCTTCAAATGTGGGTGCATGTACTATGTCTTTGTAACCAAGTGCCAGCTCAGTAGGGGCACAATCAATATTTGTTGATGTGTGATACCTGCCCATCCACATTCCCTTACCTGGTTCCCTCAGTGACAAGGATTTGGGCAAGTTGGGGCTGAATCTACAGGCATGAATCTGTTGAAGCTGAGATCTCACCATGACTTAATTGCCATTGTTCTCAGATTTGTTTAGCCAATGGCCCAGATGAAGTAAACAGAGAGAAGACAACCAATTGGCATTTCAACAAAAGTAAAGAAGGTGGTGTTAGGGGTGGCAGACAGACAGGAGGGTGATGTATGTGGCACCTGCTGACAAGGAGAGCAAGATCAGGGAAGTTCTCTGAGGATGTTCCTTAAGGAAGGAAGGTATGGGGGCTGGAGAACAGGACTCTGGATGACTGTAATCCCAACAGAGGTTTCCAATGCTTAATAGCCAGTCTCTGTAACTCACTAGTTGTGGCTGTTGGAAAAATTCTTTGGGTTTGGAGGCCATTCCTAGAAATCTGATTTCCGACCCTGAATGGCTGGATGAAGTTGAAGTTTCTAGTGATTTTGAAAAGAATTTGGAGTTTTCCTAGGGGTTTTGTTTGTTTATTTTGAGACAGGGTCCGACTCCTTTACCCAGGCTGGAGTGCAATGGTGTGATCATGGCTCACTGAAACCTTGACTTCCTGGGCTCAGGTGATCCTCCCACCTCAGCCACCCAAGTAGCTGGGAATACAGGCACATGCCACCATGCCTGGCTAATATTTTTGGTATGTTTTGTCATGAGGGGGGGGGTCTCACCGTTGCCTAGACTGGTCTTGAACTCCTGGCCTCAAACAAGTTGCTTGCCTCGGCCTCTCAAACTGTTATAGGCATGAATCACTGAGCTCAGCCCCCAGGTGTTTTTAATCTGGTTCCACAAACCTCCCACCAAGGGGTCTGTAGATAGCATTTAAAGGTTGTGGTCTTGGCTAGGAAAAAACCTACGTCATTATTTTTACTTACCTATAACTGAAACAGTATTTTCTGTAAGTAGGAGTAGCAACAGAAACCACAATGTATTATCCATACCTGTGACTTTGTCCCCAAGGGAAATCACAGATAGCTTGGTAGCACATTACAGCTCTTGCAGATGGTTCACATTAGATTTACGCTCATCTCTCATTCTAAATTATGGTAGTTATTAAATCTTCTGCTGGACTCTGTTATTTAATGAATTAATAAAGAAGCAAACATATAGCTACTTTACAATTTGGTTTTATTAGATAGTCCTTTGTAGCCTTGAGTCTTTTATTTTCTGCTTTTTCCAACAATTCAGAGGAAGTGTCCCTAGGCAGCCCTCGGCCATTTATTACCTCTCACGCCTCAAGCCGGCTTCAAGTTACATACAAATTCTTTGCTTTACTGAAATCTACACTCTGGACCCTTTATCCTGCCTTCTTAGACAATGCCTCGCTCTCACTCTTGGGCAGCCCTTCCAGGCATGCAAGGAATTCAGTCTTACTATGCCTCCCACTCCTGACCTGGCTGGTCACCTGGGACCTCTCTGTCATCAGCCTAGCTCTAGAAGCTTGATCATGAGGCAGTGACCTGACAGCTTGAGCAAGGAGACAGAGCACGGGGGCAAAGCGAGCATGATGGTTTCTCCTTCACCGTTACTTCTGAATCTATTAGTGAGTGGCGGCCAGACCCGTGGGTTCCTGCCTCTGATTTTCCTCATCACGCTTCTCCACACAGGCTGCCACTCAGCCCACTTCTGGGTCCTCTCGTAGGAAGCCCTCCTTTTGCCCAACCTAAAGAACTTGGGAGCGAGCCAGGAGAACCGCTCTTTCCCTTCACCCCACGCCTCAGTCCTATACCCCTACCACTTGGCAGCCACCCGTGTCCTGTTTTCAGAAAACCTTCCTTTGCGTGACCTGGTTTTCTCCCCACACGGCGCCTACCTTGCTGTGCACTTAAGTGAATCTTTTCAAATGCCAGAGAGGTCCCCTGGGTGAGCCCAGTGCTATCTCTTTGAAGCTAACACATGGCCAAAGGCTTTATTGAAGTTACTTGGCCCTCAGCAGGGCCACACATTTTTTTAAGACAGAGTCACATTTTTTTTAAGACAGAGTCTCCCTCTGTTGCCCAGGCTGCAGTGCAGTGGCATGATCTCAGCTCATGGCAACCTCCACCTCCTAGGCTAAAGTGATTCTCCTGCTTCAGCACCCTGAGTAGCTGGGATTATAGTGTGCCATGATGCCTGGCTAACTTTCTGTAATTTTAGTAGAGGCAGGGTTTGCCATGTTGGCCAGGCTGGTCTAAACTTCCTGAGCTTATGTGATCTGCCCACCTTGGCCTCCCAAAGTGCTGGGGTTATAAATGTGAGCCACTGCTTCTGGTCCCCAGGCCTGTGCCATCCACACCCTCAGCCTCCCACTGTCATATGTGATCAAACTCTACAATCCCATCCTCTTTCCAGCAGAGTCGGGATCACTGAAGTGGCTTCCAATGGAACCTTAGTAGATTAGCTCTAGAGTTTTACAAAATAATGTAAATAAGTGCTGAATTTCTTTCCTCCCTTTCCTCCCTCCCTCCTTCCTTCCTTCCCTGCCTCCTTCCTTCCTTCCTTCCTTCTTTTTTTGACAGTCTTGCTCTGTCATCCAGAATGGAGCACAGTGGCGGGACCTCAGCTCACTGCAACCTCTCTCTCCTGTGTTCAAGCAATTCTTTTGCCTCAGCCTCCCAAGTAGCTGGGATT